CTCTCTCTCTCTCTCTCTCTCTCTCTCTCTCTCTCTCTCTCTCTCTCTCTCTCTCTCTCTCTCTCTCTCTCTCTCTCCCTCGTCCCCTGTATCTTCTCGTCGTCCGCCGCTCATCCGTCCATCGATGTCCCCCTCTGCATGCACCCCAAGTTACCTCACCCTTTCCCTCTCTGCCTTCCCCTCTTAACATGTGACTAACCTACCCCTCACTTGTTACATTGCCAGGGGGCGAACGGTGAAAATAGGCAGCCTCACTTGGTGGAGAAAGAGGGCAAGGGGGGGGCAACCGGTCCCTTGCGCCGCCAAGAAGGAGCGAAGTGAAAGACTTGTGAATCGAGAAAAGCGAAAACATTGAAAAGAAAAGTGAAGACAAGTGCGAGTTTTGGGCAAGGTCAGTTGACTCAACCATCTTCCCTGATTGCATGGGTAAGGAAGATAGCATGGTTTGATTGTGGGAAGACGAGGAAAGATGGAAGAACCATGGGAAGGGAAAGGAACTTAGGCTTGCGGGAAGGGCGATGTGTTGACCCCAATGGGGTGGAGGATGGATGTTGTTTCTTGCTTGTGTGGGAACTGTGCAGGTGAGTAGCTCGGAATGACGTGGGCGGATTGGGAAGAGGATAAGCGAACTAGAGGAGGACCAAAGGGAAGCAAAGGGGATGGAAGAGAGGGGCATGGCTTTGTAGGGTATGATTGTGCCTTGGCTGTTGCGTGTGAAATGGAGGCCCGAAAAGACTAAGGGCCGGAATCGTTTCGTGAATGGAACGCGTGGGCCAGACAAGGGAAACGATAGTGGCTTAGGGGAAGGACGGCAGGGCCGCGCCCCGATGATGCCGGAGATCTGTCATGACGCTAGGGAAATGGTGCGTGGCCTAAGGACAACGCTTAGCCTGCGCACGAAAAGAAGAGAAATCTCCAATAACCCCCTAGACTGCCTGAGTATTGGAAGGAGCAACTGCTTGCGAATACAATGGGGAATCGAGAATCTATGTTTGCGACAGTCGACCAGCGAGGCTACCACCCAGAGCAAGGGCTGAGCTACATCCCCAATGTTAAGCTCTCTCGCCCTATTGGCCCATCCCCATCCATACCAAAGCACTAGGTGGGGGTGGCCCCGGGACGAATGACCCGCGCCCAGAGCTTGAGCTTGGGCGGGTCGAGCCAAGTGGGACCCGCAGCGGGGTCGACAAAGGCTCGAAAGTCTACCGGGGTTCGGCCCGACACCGTGGCAAGTCTTAGATGTCAAGGGAGACGCAGATGGTCCGTCCTACACTACCGATATTCCACCGCAGCTGCACACATATCCAGTATTCCACAAATCTAAGTTGCTTCCCTGTGTAACGAACGATCAGTTTCACTCTCGTCGCTCCATGATCCCACCAAATATGGATGGAGGTTACGATGTAGATAGAATAGTGCCTGAATACGTCTTCTTCACAGGCCGCAGAGTGAGACCACAGAGGCAGTTGAAAGTTAGATTTGCCTATCAGGAACCCAACAAAGATCGCTGGTTCCCCAGGGAGGAATTTATACAGACAGCCCCTCACATTGTTTCCTTTTATGAGAGGGTGGGGTGGGGAATGCATGTGTACGACAGATAAAACTGAGATTTTCCACGGAGGACCTTGAAATTAGGCCGGGGGGAGTGAAAGGATTCATGCTGTCAACACCCCCGTGTCCCGGTACCAGGGTCCCAAACGGTCCCAGATGGCCCAGGTTCCAGGCTGTCCCAGTAGGGTAGGTCGTAGGGTCCCTAGGCTGAAGCGTCGTAGGTTGGTAGGTATCGGTACCAAAACATCACAGGTTGGTGAAAGTCAGTCCGGTACTCGACAAGAAAAGTGCAGTCCAGTCCAACAGTCCCAAGTCCAATTTTGCAGCATGTCCCAGGAAAGTCTGGAAGGTACCGGATCGACAAAATGTTTGCAGCAGACAGGCCGCGGCCGACCGGTACCGGTCTGAAGCAGGACAAAGTCAAGTCCTATATTTAGCTGCTATAGTGCGGTGGCTTATCGCATGTTCAATTGCAAGATGCGGAAGCGCTGCTGCTGCGTGTGCGTTAAGGCAACTTGGGCATTTTGCGCCTGGAGGAGGAAGAGGGCGCCCGACAGTTACCGTAGGTAGGGTAGAAGGACGTAGGAGGTAGGGCGGCCATAGCCGCCAGGTGTAAGCTTACCTGAGTGGGTGTGACCAGGGTGACGATCTAGGACGAGAGAGAGAGAGAGAGAGAGAGAGAGAGAGAGAGAGAGAG